GAGCCACAGTGCCGTCTCCGTGGGAAGTGGAGAGGCTGGCTTGCACTGAGTGGTGAGGTCCAGCCTGCCAGTGTGGCAACCATCAGGCTGGCTCTGGCATCATGTGCACGGTGAGGAAGAAGGACACAGTGTTGGAGTCTGACCTGCACGGGGAAGGGGGCCAGGATGTGATGCCATGGGTGGGGGTCTGACCCCGGGGCTGGGGAGGTGGCTGCACATTTCTTACCAGCATGAGGGTCCTCCTGCATGTCCTGCAGGTTGATGTGTTGTCCCAGCACATTGTCCAAACCCCACAAGCACTTTCTATCCTCAGTTACACCAGGGTTTCAGAGCATGATAGAGACCCTGTTCTTCACAGTGCTTGTTCTAGCTGCTCACACTACTTGCTTCTTGCCCCAAAGCACATCTCCTGATCCCAGAAATTTATGCCATCCATAAAGTTGGATAAATCACTCTCAGGGAGCATTTTCCAGTGTTCTTCCCACAGTGTCAATGAGCTCATGTTCATTGAAGCCATTATTTCTCGTAACACCTTCCCCCCAGCACGGCCCTGGAGCAAAACCCAACAGAGTCACGGCCCTTGAAACACAGACGCACATGGGGAAGTGAGAAAAGAGGAAAAAGGAATAAAAAAGCACAAAGGAACAACAAAGGTCACCCTCTTTAGCAACATTAGACACAGCCTCTGAAAAACAGCTCATTGGTTTTGAAATAGCTCTGACGCTGCCCTGACCACTCCCTGGCTCCTGCTGCTTGGCACAAAGTGCCATCACCCCTCTTGTGAACCTGCCAAACGAACAGCTCGGAGTCAAATGGAAATGAGACATCAAGGGAAACCTTCCAAAGGCACCGAGGCCAGTTTAGTATGAAGAGCTGCTCAGATCCCTTTCTGAGACGTCAGGATGCCCTTTCTTAGCCCGTCAGCTTCTGTAAGATGCCAGACAAACAAGGGATGACACTGGGTAGCCTTGAAAGAAGGTCTGGTCTCCTCCTGAGGGCAGAAAGAAGATCTAGGTAGGTTGATGAGTGTCATTTCAGTGACATTTGCACAGTCAGGTTTGGTGCCCACCTGTAGTATGGACTCAGAGGTGTGGCAGGACCCCTAAGGCTGGTTGCCACCATCGCTTCTGTCAGGGGCTGTCTAAATATGAAGGTCTGCAGCCTTGGGAACTCCACCCTGACTTGGAGCCAGCATCCCCCACAGAGCGCCTTGCCACCACACAGCTGCACAGGCAACAAGAGGTTTGTCTGTGGTCACCCAGTCAAACCCTCATGGTGACATAGCCCAAGACCATCCTGTGGTGGGTGGAGAGAGTCCTTCTTCACAAAGACATCCTGTGCAAGTCCCTCTCCACGAACACAATCCACCTTGGTAAGTTTTTAAGGGCATTTTTTTATCATCACAGCTACAACATCCCAGTCTGCACGACCCACACTCGCTATGCTCAGCTGACCCAACACGTTTTGGTCACCTCCAAATTCTGCCAGAACTGTTTGAGCTTGCAGACAACAGATAAAAACTCTTGAAATATCAAAAAAGAAAAAGATTTTAAAATAAAAGCTCTTAACAAGGCAGGGTGGACACCAGATCCTTGTTGGACCCTCCTGGGTGCACCTTGCTGGGAAATGGCTTTGATCCCTCATTTGGGCTGTGGTGCCCTGTGCCCTGGATGCCCTCAGTGACCTGAGCCAGCCCAACCTCAGAGGTCCTCCAAGAGCAACATCACACTCAGAGGCACAGCTGGTCCTTCATGACCACATTTGCTGGACTCTCAGCTGTATTCCTGCTCTTCATTTGTTGTTGATCTCTGCTTGCATCTGCTTTGCTGCAGGGCTCTAGTTAATTAGCAGTGCCCCGGGGATGCCACAAAAAGTGTGAGCTCATATTTCTCCAACCCACCCCCAAAAATGGGCTCAGGGACACAGGCTATTGCCCAGCAAGAGCTGCTGCTTCTGGAAGGGGGTAAGAGCTGCTCCCACCCTCATTTCCTGTAGCACCCAGCTGATTGACACCCCCATGTGCCTAATTAGGCTCCACCTCTTCTCCAAGCTAGAACTTCCCACGCAGGCTGTGGGGACCAGACTGCTGGACTCTATGAGCTCTTGCCATCCCAGCTGCCCAATGCTCCCAAGTGTTTAATTTCTGCTGCCATGCCAATATGTGCCGTGGTGATGAGGTGGACCAAGGTTCTGTGAGATCCTCGTCCTTGTTGGAGGTTAGAGGTTTCTGCTTACAGCCTCATCTCATAAAAGAGCAAAAGTTTCAAATTAAAACTGGATTCAGGTAGATGAAGGGGCATACAAGAAAGCTGGGGAGGGACTTTGGCCAAGGGCAGGGAGTGACAGAACGAGGGGTGATGGCTTGAAAGTGGCAGAGGGGAGATGGAGCTGAGATGTGAGGAAGAAATTGTTTGGTGTGAGGGTGGTGAGCCAGTGTCCCAGGTTGGCCAGAGAAGCTGTGGCTGCTCCTCCCTGGAAGTGTTTGTGGCCAGGTTGGATGAGGCTTTGAGCAACCTGGTCTAGTGGAAGGTGTCCCTGCTGCTGGCAGGGGGGTTGGGACTGGATGAGCTTTGAGGTTCCTTCCAACCCAAACCATTCTATGATTCTATGAAAAAAAAGCTCCCAAACCCTAGAAATGAAGTGAGAACCTCAGCACATGCTTAGCTCTGGCTGCTGTTGAGTTTTGTAAGGCAGGGCTCATTGGTGGGCTGGATTTGGGTGCCTTTCTCATCGCCAAAGTCATTTCTTTCCCCTGTCGCAAGAATGTGAAGCACACGCTGATAATAGGGGATTGCAGCAGAAGAAAGGTCACCACTTCTTTTCTTCTGCAGTGGAGGGAAATGATGTGCTGGTGTGTGGGTGGATGAGTGCGTACGTGACGTAGGGTGACTTTCAAAGAGAACAAATGGAGCTTCTGCTTTTGTCTGCCTCCTCAGCGGGTTGAGGGGAGGGGAAAGGAGGTTTTTGGTCTGACACTCTGTATTAGCAGGGCCCAGACATGGGCCTCAGCAGCGTTTTCTCCAACCCCCTTGGTGATCCCTTTGGCTCAGTTCCAGACTTGCACTGCCACCACCAGCCCTGGGTGTGCTCTGCCTGGGATGTTGGGTTTTTTCCCTCTTTTTCATAAATTAAGGGAAGCAGAGGGATGCACACAGGCCATCCTCCTGCCCTGGCGTGAAGGAACAGAACTGCACCTTACAACCACCTTCATCCCAGGGCGAAGAGCAGGGTGCTGAGACTGAGCACCCTGGCTTGGGGCAGGGTGTGTTGCCACCAGGCTCTGCTCTCTGGCCAGAGCTCCATGGTGGTGTTGAGGGGAGAAGGTTGCACCTCAGGACCAGGGTCCTCTTTGGCCTTGAGCTCTGATCTTCTTGCCACATGCCTCGGGTGGCTCGGGACCAGGGCTTTGCTTCACCAGGAGCCCTATGCCAAAGTCACCAAGGTATTCCATCTGTGGAGCATCTCTCGCTCGCTGTGTGTTATATACCTGGCATGGCTCAGGGAGGGAAAGATGCTCCTCAAGGATCTGCGAGCCAGAAAATGTGAAGGTGGCCTCGAGGAAGGTGCCCAAGGAAAGGGCTGGGTGCTGTCCTGCCTACAGGCAGGGATCTGAGTTGGGGCACACCAGCCTCAAAGGGTGCTGGGCATGCTGGGGGTGTCAGTGGGATGGAGCAGGCTGCTGTGCAGCGTGGAGGAGCGAGTTGGGATTTATAAGTAGGGCTGAAGGGAAGTGTTGATGCTAGCGGTGACCTCGTTGCTATAAATAACACGAGCATTCAACAGCAGAGATGGGACTGGCAGTCTGTTAGCCACAACTCCCCCTCAGTGCTTTGCTAAACATCTGTTTTCTTGCAAAACGG